TTCCTGAGCCAGCCCTTTTGGGCTAGCCGCAGCCTCCGTGCTTCGGTGGGGTGGGGTGGGAGCCAGTCTGTCCCTAGCTTCGGATCCAGGAGGTCGGAGGTCTAGAAGTGTATATAACTTGTATTCCTTCCCGGATTCCCCATCCACCATCCACCCCATCCATATCCATACACTCCATATGAATATAATATGCCTACATCTACCCCCCACACCACCCCAATATAGGCATATATGGCATACATGGAGCGTCTGGGAGATAGAGCATATTCTACGATATCATAGGTATAAACCATATTCCAGGACCTCATCCGTATATACAGGACATTCCGAACATATTCCTTCCCCATCCAGCCCATCCAGGGATGTCCATGCATGTCCATGCACAGAAATACTATCCCCACACCACAGCGCTGTGACAAAAAAGCTATGACATCGTTTTGGCATGAAAAACTAAAAAGGCATTCTTTATAACTCTTCGTTTGGTCCTTGGATGTCCTTTGTCCAAATCTTTAGGGTGTCCGTTTACACAAAAACAATGATACAAAAAGAAACAGAAAAGTGCAAATAATGATCTGAACAAGATATCTGGTGTTTAGTTTGAACAACAAAAACATCTGAAACACGATCTTGGCCCGGGTGACTGTGCCGGTCTTCTTGTGTCTCGCTATGCTCCACGCATTGAAACATCTCAGAAGTTTGGCTTCCGGAGGCAGCGCGGAAGCCTCAGGTGAACCGGACGAGTCTCCGGTCGAGCCAACCAGTGGATGTAAAGAAAGGGTCGATCTACAAAAGAAAACCCATATACTGATACTGCTTGACCTAAACGGATCTTTTTTAGCCATCAAACATTCAAAGATTCTCTGTTTTTTGTGTTTTTTGAGTCTTTACGAAACAACTGCTTTACAATATAAGGATTTGACACAATTGAGACTATTCAAAGAGTCTTTGAATGGTTGCCTGGGAACTCGAGGGTTGGGAGTTCGGGCCTGTGAAGGGCGGTCGAAGCATTGGTGGCAGCGAGGGTGCTGGAAGGGGGATTCACCCAGTTGGGGAGCGTCCAAAACATTGCCCTACCCTAAGAATCTGGGCCCTGCTCCGGAGGTTGCCAGCTTCGGGGCCCCGGGGCCCCCCAAACGCGCTTCAAGCTCGAGCCTGTCCACATTCTGCTCCCTTGCCCAGTGTGTCCCAGGCAGCCTACTAAGTAGAAGGAACATGAAATCACCCTAAACCCTATAAGACGTCCAGACAATTTTTTTAACCACCGAAGTGTTCAGGAAATTCCATTCGACTCGGATCACCAAAGATGGTCGATTTCCTGGACTTCGGAAGTTCTTATGCCTTGAAGAAGTGGTGCAATCCGCTGCAAAGCTAACTTCCCGGAATAGAGCTAGAAGTCCTGGTTCAATTGTATACTGTATACTTGGATCTACCAACTGTGCACCATGTCTGCCGAACTTGGCTGGGTTTGCAGATGAAAAGGCAGATATTTGCATATACAGTAGTTGGAAGGTCTGTAGGTATATGACTTGATTTTGGAACTACGAAACATCTGTCTATGCCCACACATCACCCAAACAGCTACAAGCACAGCTACCAGGCATGGGGCCACGCACCGGGGCAACCGGCTCTTAAGGGCTACAGCTGCTCACACGCACCCACCCACTCCACCCACCCACTCCACTGAGCACAATGATTTATCATTGCCTCTGGTGAAGTGACATGCTGGTCTTAAGGGTCACCAGCTGACGTGTATATGCACATGGTGGAGTAAGTCATCATGAATGTCCACATTTGATGTGGAAATTCAACTATATATGAGTCGTGGGTGAAAAATCATCCCAAGTAAAGCTTGAACATCAACATCATCTGAAACCACCCGGTTACCACCCAGTTTGGTGGCAGAAAAGCCCTCCTTTGGATTTCGGTCGACCAAAGGAGTTGGCAAAGATTAGACAAAGATCCGCCGAGTTTGGTCATGAATCCTTGAATTCGCTTATGGAAACCGGTGAAAAACCATCAGAAAAAACAGGCTTCACCCAGGAACCGGGACAAATCTACAAAATGACCCTTTATTTTTTAAAAAACAAGAGGCTCAAATAAGTTGCTGGTCACTGTGGTTCACCCCAAAAGGCCCTAGTGGCCCTAGTGCAGTTGCAGTGGTTTTTCGTCCATCCATCCTCCAAGGTGCTGATGGCATCGTGCAACCCCGTGGAGCCAAAGCTCTGCGGAGTGAACACCTGACGAGCTCAGGTCTTAGGCGCTGAGGGTCCGGTGCTCGGAGCTGCCAAGGGAGCTTCGAACACATAATCCCGGAAGTTTCCGGGTCTGACCCGTCCTTAATGGGAAGAAGTGTCAAACTCATTAGAGTCAAGTGCTGGTTGTTGGGTATTCAGGCTCTATAAAGTGGTGGATCGAATTCTATAGGGTATGGTCCTTGGTGATTGGGTGTATATGCAAACAAATATGTTCCTTACAAAAACATATAGACTCATTAGTTGATACAGTACTATAGTTGTATTCCGTTGCCCTGGGGTTCACCCAAAGAATCTGGACGGGCACTCGATGGTAGGGGTCGGACCCGACCTCCCTCTTCGCAAGGGTCCGGACCCTCAAAACACTTCCCAGGCAAAAAATGATACCCTATAAACAGACTGTGCAATTATAATATACTTTATTTCGAGTGATCCCCACCATGACACTTCAATCCGACAAGCTTTCTGGCATGTAATGAAGCATTATTTCGGCATCTTTCTGGCATTCTGTCTGAAATTCTTTCTGGCATTTCTTCTGACACACGGTTGAGGTCCAGCGGGGAACACTGCCCGCCGAAGCTCGCACTGCCAAGCGGAACTCTCGGTTGAGGTCCGGAGGGGAACACTGCCAGCCGGAGCTCGCGGTTGATGTCCAGTGGGGAACACTGCCATCCTGCACTTGCGGTTGAGGTCCGGCGAGGAACACTGCCATCCTGGACTTGCAGTTGAGGTCCGGCGGGGAACACTGCCATCCGACACTTGTGGTTGAGGAGGCGTAGGAGAAGGAGGACGAGGAGGAGGCGGAGGAGCAAGGCAGCTGACATAAAATCTAACAACTCTCACCTGACAGGTGGGGAAAAAGACCATCCAGTTCGCTGAAACGCAAAGGTACAAGAGAGATAGATGGATGTTGCTTCGGGTGGAGGGATTGGACTCTAAGGTTTAGCCCCAGTTTTGGGGGAGGGCTCTAGGCCCAAATCTGACCAGGAGCCCCGACCGGTGGTGAACTCTGGGCGGACTTGGCAACGGAAGCACTGATCGAACGGAGGATCCAGGTGATGATGGTTGGAACAAACTCCGGAAGTAGGACTGACTCAGTTTGCCTGGAAATAGAGGTTGACCCTTTTTCACCTGTTCTTGTTTAAGTGGGGAAGCCAATTCAAAAAATGGTGTTACAATGTGTTACGGTGATCCACGTACTTCCTGAGTCGGAGGACGGGCTGTTTTCATGGAGCATCTGTGCTGTTTTCCGACACTCCGTGTCGATTTCATTAACGCCGCCCCACACAGACCGCGACTTCAAGCACCCCTGGCCTGATCGGTACTACTTATCTACTCTTCGTCCCCCCGACTCGGTGATCGCCACCTGCCCGCGTTCTCACCCCGCACGACCCACCACCAATAACGCACGCTCTCGCCGCAGCACCCCACGCCTCCAAGGAATCCTCGTGGATCGGACACGACATGTATGCCACCATGTTTGGATACCAAGACGTCCTGACGAGACGAGACGACGGGCATCCGGAACCACGGGCATCATCGACCGCGGGTGCTCGGAGGAGGAAATCGAGGCATCCGGAACCAGAACCAGACGGTGGCTGCAAGAAATCCTTGGATTTACTGCTTGCCATTTACTATGATGGAACACCGTGATCGAGCCTTTATATAAGAGAACCAGCTGCAAGAAATCGTTGGATTGACTCCATGCCATTTGCCATTTACTATTATGATGGAACAGCCTGTGGAGCAACACTGAGTCATGCATTTGATGGAGCAACACAGGCGCATCCTTGGTTCACAGCCAATCACTTCGGCTCTCTTTTGCGCAAAGAGGATGCTCTTGTGCGTGCAAACATATCCCACCTGGGCAGGGGCCATGGCGATGTGCATGAACACATATGATTTTGGAGGATGTTGATCTGCGCGCTGAACAATGTATAGTCAGTCCCATGTCCCATTCGTTCAACAGTCCAATCCCACCTCGTTCCAACCAAGCACAAAGAGAGCCACTGGAAAGAGCAGGACTCCCATGCAACACATCGACAAAGCATTCGTCATTTTGGTGGCCGGGCGATCTTCTTGCACATACCTGGGTGGGGTGTATGCCATCTGTGCAAAGAAGAAACTGCTGTATAGACTGTATAGACTCTTCGATTCACACAAGCCACCCAAAGATGATTCCAGAAGTGGATGTGTTACTAATCCAAAATGAGGGGGTGTTACTAATCCAAGAGTCTACATTGTTCGACTCTCTCGGATACCTTGGGCTGGTACCTCACTACCTCACCGTCCCAACAGTTTCAGCGAAAATGGTGCGACTTGCGTGTCTCCAACGGCCAAGCTGCTCCACATCATTCGGATTTGGTCCCCAACCTCCAGGACCAGGGGGGGCCACCCCAACCACCAGGACCAGGAGGAGGGCCGCCCCAACCCTCTGGCCCTGGAGGGCCGCCCCAACCGCCAGGGCCGGGAGGAGGGCCTTGCGGACCTCCCCAATCCATGGCCACGTGCGACACCGAATTGTTTTTCGGCGCCAAGCTTGGGCCAAAACCGAAGCATGCGACTGCGGAGATTGATTTGGAAACCACCCAAGAAGAGCAATGGATGCAAATGGCTAAATGGATATAGCATGGACCGGATGTACGGGTCTATGATCATCTATGTCTGATCTCACCCCTGGCCATCGGACATTTTCCGAATCCTCGTCTTGTCTTGGAGCACCCAAGGGATCTGGTTGGTCCTAGTGACTGGTGCCATGCTCGCTCTTCTCACCTGGCGACTTGAGGATGTTCCGGATGGCACCTGCCGTGTCGCCGAGAAGGAAGGTTCCATCCGGAATGGCTTAGACGCGGTGTGGAACGAGGACCCAGGGGCAGTCGCGCAGAGCATGAAAAGAGGCCGAACAACCGGCCGAAGGCCCTGGGATTCCAGTCGCCCACCATGGTTTTGAGGGTCTTTGCCTTGAGGTCCTGAGATCCTTCAGTTTTGACCCACTGTCAAACTGAATCTGAAAAGTCATGGTTTCTCCAACAGCAGCCAGCCTTCTAAGAGGGCTCCTTCATTGCCGGAGACCTCAGAAGAAGACACGTCAACCTTCGCCAAATGAGCACCGAGTGCTTCCGGAAGGTAGTATTGATAGATGGTATACAGCACAGCAGGACTATTATAATTATCCTGTCTGGGTGTCCTGGCTGGACTACCTACACTGCTTAGGGATCTCCAGCCAGGGCACCCAGACAGGATGGTCCAGGTAGGTGTCTTCCTCCTTTTTGGAGGCAGAGGCAACACGCAGTGTGCATGCGTGTGTGCACAACATCGACTAAGGATGGCCTGCCCTAGGGTTGCCAAAGTGAAACATTCCAGACCCTCCAATGAGGGGGGCGTCAGCTGAAAACCTTGACGCTCCCTGTTTGAATCACGCGATTCCAACGTGGTGCTTCAGGCCTATCTAGGCCGATGGGCCAACCTATCGCCGCCACTGGGTCTCCCAGCAGACAGGTCTTCCAAGAGCTTCTTCAAGGTTCCGACATGAGGTTCCATGAGGTCACGCAGATGGGCAGATCTGGATGTTGGATCTCCAAATGTTATTAGCAAGATACAGAAAGCCTGAACCCGTAGACGAACGGAAAGCTATTGAAAGCGTAGTTTCCGCTTCGACGATGGTCAGCTTGACTCTGGTCAGCTCCCAAGACCCACCAAGGACGTGTCAAGAAACAACATTGCAACATGATATTGGACGCGACCCTGGGCCCTCATATGGAGAGGTCTAGGGTCCCTAGGTATTGAGGCTGTTTGGAGCGTCTGGGTAGTCCAAGATGCTTTCACTTCTAAATAACTGCTGCCCGCCCACTCTGTGGCTCGATCTGTGTTTTTGTTGTATTGATCTGCAATATCTGAGAAACACTGGCATCTGGGAAGATACATTGCTTGAGATGAGCATAGAACTGGCGATATACCGGGAGTCTCCAAGTACCTCGGAAAATGAGTGCAAGTACCTAGCCTGCTTTGTTGTTTTCTTTGTGTCATGTCCCATTTTCTATAGTTAGTACTTTGGAGGGTCCAGGATGGTCCAGGATAAGTCTGAGCATGTTGCAAAGGACATTTACTTACCCATTCGACGAGTCCGGTTCTGCCGACGAACCGGCCATTCCTTTTAGTTGCACCGGATTTCGATGACTCGCAGGTGGGGTACAGTAGTTATAGTTCAGCTCGTGAGTCATTCCAGGGAAGTTGCAAACTGACCATGGCTCCAAGAAACCCGGAACGACTGAGAATGGTTGGCCCAACGTGTCCAGAATTCACGGGATATGGTCTCGAATGCAAACCCCGTGGTCGGATGCTCTTCCATAATGCAAGGGATTGGCTTTTGAAAAAGCGGCATGTTTAAAGAGAAGTGAGTGGCTTTGGAAGCTTTAACTGGAGTACCAGTCTTCTGCGCCAAAGAACAACAGCAAACTGCACGTGCGACTCCGTCATGGGACAACGGCCCTTCCCTTGTGACTTGGCAAAGAGATCTCCCCAGCAAGACGTCCTGGATGTGGCGAGTCCGGCCCTGACCCCAGACTCGCTGTGGCGACGCAGGGTGTTTGTAGGATCAAAGCATCGACGAACTCCGCTCCCCTGCACCAGGTGCGTCAACCTACCATGCCGATCCGCGCCATAAGCCCCACAGGCATGTCTAGACTGGTCTGTTGGTCTGACCTCATGTATACTGAGTATACTGGAGCTGATCATAAAAAAACACAACTCTTTTCTTTATTCAGGTCTTCTTCAGGACTAGGAGACGGTAGAGACAGCTTGAAGCCTGGGTGGCTAATTTGCCGTGTCTGTCCAGCTCGAAAGCGTCGTTCCCGCTCAGAACTCGCCCAGGAACTCGCCCCACGATATATAATATTACTGTATACCTGGACCCTCCTGTCGGGGTGCCCTGTCTGGAAGCCTATAGGTAGTGTGGAGTAGTCCAGCCAGGACACCCCGACAGGAGGGTCCTGGTATAGTCGTGCCCTCTACCGATCCACCCGGTGTGGATGGGATTCGGTGATTGCCAGCTCGTGACCGTCACGAGGTGATGGCACCGAAGCATGGTGGACAGTCCATGTAAACAGTGGTCCCCAAAAAGAGTGGACCGTGGCATGGTTTCTAAATGTTTTCTAATGCATGTTAAAAGGTCGACATTTAGTGTTCTATCAGTTCTATCTATTTGGCGGTCTATATAGAGCCTTTTGGTGGTGGATGCCTTTCAATCCTGTCCCAAAGCCTAATCAAATCATGGACGAGCCCGCCATTCGTCTTTCGGATGGATAATAAAATATATATATATATATACCCTGCATGTCGACGCAGGTTAATTTAACCGCCTTTGAGCAGGGATGTTTTTTGGCGTGGTCCAGGGTCAGCCCCTGGAGGCTCAAGGGTATGCAATTGAAGCGAAAGGATATGAAATGATAGGGGACAAACTCTTCAGTCGGATCATCATAGACATACGTCAACCAAGTGGGATCACACCCGAATGACTTGTAATAAAGATTTGTCGAATGACTGGCCCGAATTTTCGTGCTTTTCCACACCATTGACGTGTTCTTCAGGTGTTTCCTCGTCTTTGATTGTTCTTTAATGTTATTGTCACAATCGTTTTCTCTCCATAGTGTTTGTTCCATCTTCTCTTCATACGGATGTCCACCCCCGACACGACCCCCGCGGTCCACGACCCGACACGACCCCCGACACGGCCCGACACGACCCCGTCACCGTCCGTCGCGCTTTGCTTCGGTCAGCCGGCCGTCTTTCGGATCCGCCTCATCGAGCAGGAGGATCGTGGGGTTCGCCAGGATCGCCTGTGCCCGCGGCGGGACGACCGGTCCAGACGGATCACCCAGACACGACCGCCATCTGGGACTGCCATGACGGACTGCCTTCAAAACGGGCAGGGGGGGGGTGCCAGGGGGGGTCAATGATAGGTATATATTCCAGTCCCGAGTCTATGGGGTCGGGAACCGGAGGCTTGTGTATCTACCAGTTATATGTTCGCCCAGATGCCCGGCGCGCGGAACCCTGCGACTTCTGGCGCGAGAAGTAGTAGCCAGGGGTAAAGACTAAAACCATAGACCCAGAAGGATTTCAAAGACCTTTTAAAAAACGGTTGATCCGCTCCTGTCGTCTAAAATCCTAAGTAAACCAATAATGGTTGTTTGGTAAAGACCATTGAAACAATGGTTTTTTGAATCCCAGGCCTAATTAAAGATCCATTAATCCCCGCGTGCCGGAACCCGAGCCGTTCGGTGGGAAAATTTTGGTGAAACCACGAGCTTAGTGGCGTTCTGGTTGAGTGGCCCAAAGCCGTGCCTATATAGGCTTCCTGGCCGTTGATTTCATGATTCAAGTCCCGGGAATACGAACCGGGCGGAGAACAACCGACCAACCTGCCACCTGCTTGGTATGTTGGGCTAGGATTCTTTGGGCAGAACCGGGGGGCTGGACCATTCGACCAACTCCGGCCGTCTCTTCCCCCCCAGGGTGGACCGGACCGGGTCCAATGGCCGACACGACCGCCATCTGGGACTGCCAGGACTGCCGCAGACAGACCCCCCAGTCACCAGCCCGGTCGGCCGGATCGGCAGTCCGCAGATGGCGGTCGTGTCTGGGAGACTTGACCAAGAACGTTTTGGGATGCACCAATCTCACAAACATCCTGCACCTCTGATGTTCCAACAGCAACAAGCATCCACTGACACCCTCAGTTTACAAAATATATTCAGGTGAACCATGTCACCCTGTTGGATGTTTAGTGAAGAATCCAATCACCAAAAAAGACTTAAAGGTTATCCACTGACTGGGTAGGCCTTTGCTCCATAGCCTTAGCTCAGACCATTGTTCAGAATGGTTGTCGATCGGACTCGCAGGGTTCCACATATAGGGTGTGTAGCTCAATTAGAGTACTCACTTGGAGAGTGTTCCCTTCTGTTCCCTTCAGTTCCCACCCTTTAAGGTCAAGAAGTCTCTGCTGCTTCCGGGTCCTTCCTGCGAGTCTCCCCTCCCCTCCGGCGGCACCCGTGCGATGGCCACGCGTTGCTTTTGGCCTCGGTCAAACCCCGCGTTGGGCGACGATGGCCCAGCGTCGCCGTCGTTGGTGGCTGGACCGACGTTCTTGGGCGGTTCTCTAAAATTCCTGGCTGACCATTGCTTCAACGGTCTTTACTAAGAACCAATAGGTTTTGTACCAGGACTGAAACCAAGTCCGATGGTTTTTGGACACCCCGAATCAGCTCTCAGAGGCAACTATTTAAGTCCACCTCTTGGAAGGTCCTGGTATAAATCACGATGATGGACTAAACAATACCACTCAAAACCAGGTCCTTCCGGTCCTTCGCACTCTTTTGATGGTCTGTTCAAAGGGACCATGGGTCCATCTGATCCATCCGACCGTCCAAGCTGCTGCGCCGCCAACACCCTCCGCGAGTACCAGCGGTCGAAAACCGGCGAGTCGTCGAACGGCGAGTCGAACGACCGGTCCGTGGAGTAGATCCAGGGACCATTGACTCCCGTTTCCCTGCACTTTGACTCCCGTTTCGTCGCGTTGAACGCTATAAACTCTGCCCCAGTTGGGGTGGTTTATAGACAAGTCACGCCCCTTTTGAAGATGTATGTTCCATCTAAGAACGGCCCTTTGAGTAGTAGTGGTGGTGTAACTTGGGGTCCGAAACATTATGTATTTTCAGATGGGTTTCTTGGATATCTTGGATATCTTGGTGGGCGATCCAACTCCCCAAGCTCCAAAAAAAGTGGTGGATCTTTTCCAGTGTCCCAGTTTCTCCAGTATCCCATGGAACAGGACGTTCCGGACAGGACCTCCCGGACAGGACAAGCCTTCCAAGGACATAGAGATGAAAGGCTAGAAAAAAAGGGGTCCAAAATGGTCCAACGAAACAGCTGCCTGCATTGGAAGGTCGTGGAATGATTGAAAGCACATACTTGCACCACCCAAGTTGCCCTCGTTGGCCCCGATTTGATTGCAAATATGTGTAACATTGTGTAGCCTAAGGAAAGGGGCATCGTCGGCATTCCAAGGAAGCACAGAAGAGATGGTGTCAACGGGCGTTTGGTGTCCTTTGTGTCCGATAAGACACCGCCCTGAAACCTCGGATCCAGTGATATTTTTTACAGCAGGGTGGATCCAGTGACCACTCCATAAGGGGACCCTTATGTGGTTCCAAAGACTAAAGCCGACTTTGAAGCCTCAGACTACATCGTGGGATTCTTTGGATCCAGATGGATCCGGGTACAGCAACGTCAATGACACAAGTGATACCCTCATAGTAATCCTAATCGATGATCAAATGTTATTTGCACTTCATGGAGTTATGATCAAATGATGAATTGTTCAAATTCAGCCATGTTGGCAGAATTGGCGGCGGTCTGACTTGATGACTGCCATGTCTGCCCTGCCCCTGCCATGCCGGCCCTGCCTCCACTCAGTTGGATGCCACGCTCTCCCACCAGCGTGTCCTAAGAACATTCTCGCCAACATCCATCAGCTTCGGTTTATATAACTAACTATTGAGTCTGAGGTTATACAACTTCCAAGCGTTCCAAGGCCAGAAGGGTACCAATCCAAACAGACCGTGGAAGTCCGTGGACGGCCATATTCTAGCTGTCGGGTCGAACAATTCCTCCAATCTATGGAGGTACACTGTCTGGAATCATCAAACCCTAAGAATCCGGGCCCTCAAACACTATAGACATAGGGTTTGGGAACTGGGCCCTTTTCCCCTGTGTTTCGGTGTCGGGTCCGACCCCTGCCATGGAGAACCCGTTCGGATTGTTAGGGAAGTGAATGGCAGTCATCATCCTTTCGGTGCTCTTCCGGGGGGCCATGCCATCCAGCCATGCCATAGCTGATGGGAGCCGGTCCAGCCCTGCACCTGCAAGCACCTGACCGACTAGCCAATCTGCACCACTGGCCGGAGCATTCAATGAAAACCTGCACCCTGTTTGCTTGGGACAGACCTCCGGTCCAGGTCCAGGTCTCGACCTCCTGAACCCTTGGACCGGACGGAAGAACCGGACCGTCCGGAAGGTCGGAAGGTCGAGCCGAGCCGTTGGTTTCACTGGAAGGAACCGTTGGTTCTCCCCCGGCTCGACCCGGCTCGACCGAGCCGCCGGGGCCGAAACAGAGACCGCCGGGCCCGGGTGGATGTGGATTTGAACGATCAAACGTCCAGGATCCTGTGACTGGGTGTCCTGGCTGGACTACCCTACCCCGGTACCTACCGGGGGCCCCACAAACCATCGAAAACCTGGTTTTCACACACAAAAACATACAAAAAACATCAAAAAATGTGTTTTTTTTGCTATAGGGAAAACCATGTTAGTTTGTGATGCTTTGTGGGCCCAGTAAGGAAGTGCTAGCTTGGGAACTTGGAAAGAAAACACCTCCTTCCCGTCTCCTCACCGACGTTGACGGGAAGGACCAGACTTGGACGCGTGGTTTTTCCGACCGAGTGTCGGGACGGAACCGAAGCTTCAGGGGAGGTTGACCTCTCATACTGAGGGAGTTTGAAATAAAGAAGGTTTGATATGATTAGAAAAAGGAAAAAAAAAGACAAAAGGAACACCAAACACTTCCAAAAGCCATAAAACCGGCTGCTGTGATAGACTGAGGCCTTTGACCTTCAAGTCGTCTCCAATACTTGGCGCTTCGTGGATTTGACCATTGCAATTCAGTAACTTGAAGAGTCAAATAAACTTTGGGAGGTGTTGAGCTTCTCATGAAAGCACATCCTTTTATCTCCTTGTCTTTTTCAAACTCCTTCTAACTGCTTCAAACACCAATGCACCAACAACTTCTGGCTGCTACAAGCGGTACATCTGCCTTTGGTGCCTCAAGTGAAGCACTACGCGAGGGGATGATCAAATTCTGCTGGTGTTCAAAGGCTACAATGTAGAATTCTGGGTGAGCATATCTATCTAACGTATCTAAGTATTCTTGGTGAGTATATCCAAGCCCATCCACCATCTAGTCGTGTTGTTTTGGCCATCCCTCACGATGAACAACTCCTAGAGTGAGGCCGAGGCCGTCCTGGGACCGACTGACACCGGCAAACTGTGCGGAACCTCCTTTCGAGGTGGCCAGGATGCCATGTCCGATCGGCTCACGGGCTGACCAAAGCTCAAGATCACATGCAGCTGGCCCGTATCTTGAAGCACGACCTTCCTGAAGTGAAGGGCGAACACGGGTTAGAAAAACCATGATGCCATAATAGATACCTTTAAGGGCAAGTCGATGGGAAAACACCGAACATTTGGGAGGTCGTCTTGGGGGGCGTGTTTGTTCAGGCTGGTTTTTTTGCTCTGTCCTCTAGTGGCCCGCGGCAGAAATGGAACCATACAACACACCAAAGCGATGACCAGAACCGGACCGTATCGAGACCGCGAGCGAAAGAGAGTTTCAGCGCGAAAGAGGTCTCAATTCAGGGGCTGATGGGACCTACATTATCCTACATTCGCGAATGTAGGTCCTGATGGGTCCGAATGTAGGTCCTGGTACCTCAACAAAAGGTCGCTGCCAGGTTTCATCACGCCGGAGATTTCGAAGTATTGTGGTGGCACATGAGCCAGAAAAAGAGGCATTGCCTCGAAGGCTGCTACTTGGTCAGGCAGGTGCGTTGGCACATCCTCTTGCTTGGCAAGCGTGCCTTGAGAGGCCCTCGCAGCTCTCCTAGCAGCCCTGGCGTCTTCATACAAGCGATCCTTGGATCTGCTGGTTTTAAGGAACCTGGACACAAAAGAACATATATGCCCCAAGCTTGGGGATTTATATAAAACAATTAAACATAACCATCACCCTTTTTTTCTGGCAGAAACCATGGATCAATGATGTCAAGGGTAAAGGAGTTGGGAAAAATGTCGCACAAGCTTTGGCCCACCACGTCCGCGCCTTAGGACAAGTCGAACGCGTGACCGGTCGACCGCAACACGAGTTGGAGCGCCCACGAGCGCCCGGAGTTGGAATTCACCACCCCCCAAATGCAGAAGTTGTATAAGGGGTGTCCCTTTTCACCACCCGTTAGTGGGTCCAGTTCTACAGTTAAAATCAACAGCATGGTCCTGTAGAAAACTTCGATCTATACTCTCCAGGAGACCTCAAAACCATGAAAACAAAGGTTTTCACATACAAAAAATATGTCTTTTGGCTAGGGAAAACCAGGTTTTGGATGGGCCAGGGGGGGGTTGTGGCTATACTCTATACCCTAAAGGGCCATGCCATGACCCCTGTGGCGCCCTGCGGACTGGAGAGGACAGACCCAAACCATCGTCTTTGTCTTGGCCCTTAGAATATGGGTCATGCACCTCCAAACTCTGCTTGACCTTGTAGTATGTTCTGTTCATTTTCGGTCACCCCGGGTCCCCCTTGTAGCTTGACCCACAGCCATGTGATCTTAAAGCCCAAGAAACACGGGGCACTAGCGGCACTGACCAGCTTCTCAGCCACATTGATGTCCTGAGCCGAGGGGTGTCCGTGCAATCCCAGAATGCTCTCAGTAAGCCGATTTGCCCAACACCCACGAGGTTTGGAAGATGTTGAACTCATGACCCATGCTTCCTCGATCTCAAAATCAACATCATTCAAAATCTGTGTCCCCTTGGTCTTCCAACTTACCCGAGTGTCCAAGAAGGCATTCTTGTCCCCAATCTGCAAGCAGTGCTCCACGATTCCGTTGCTCAACACGCGGGACGTGGCACTGTCCGTGTCGGGAGGCACGGCGCTCAACTCTTGCGGCGGCGCTTCGTGCATGGTGAACGATCGCATCTCGTAGCCTTCAGCGTCTCGGTGAGAGGACGGACGACTCGAGCGAACGCGCAAGAAAGCCATCCACTGGTCACCTGCTGCAAGCCCAGTCCCCGAAACAAAGGATTGGGAACATATTGGAACCCATGGCGCCAGCTTGAGATCCTTTACATAGGAACTGTTTCAGATTGGGACTGGGTTCCAGGAATTGGGAAGGAGTGAAGATAAGTCAAGATTACTATCCACCATGGATGGGTAAGCCCAACAAAATCTCTTCCCGAAGCACCCGGGCCCCTGCGAAGGTCCTAGGTGAAAGAGCATCAAGACTCGAACCATATCGAACACCTTGGGTGCTCTTCCGTCAGAGTGGTCGGAATCCGAGTGAGAACAGAATTGATACGTCTGCAGCCCCGAGCTGATTGATCGGGGATTAAACTGATCCAAATGTCCGGCTCCCGAGCCGTTTTAATTTGAAAAATCACTATATATAGACACGATCTGTCTGGCACATGGCATATTTACCATACATTGGGGTGGTTGAATTCAGGGGTCAACGGGGGCGGCATCAATTCCAGTCCCATGGAGTGTCTGAGTAAGGTTGCGTACGTGGGTAGAAACCCACCGTCGGACGGATGGACGGTTGCTGGGACGGGTTGCTGCGCCAGTCCAGCTGCGAGTCGTCACTGCCGGATCGTTCCCGTGCCGCGCGTGCCATGGCATTCTGCGGGTCGATGGCCAGGGGTTTGACATCAGTAAAGTCTCGCAGCCCGAGGAGGTGATACTTTTGCCCATTCATCTTGGTGTACTTCACCTGTCGGAAAGTGAGGCAGTGTTCAACCAGCCACGAAGAAAATATGTTCATCAATGATCGATGATGCAAGGGTCATTGGTCGTTTTGAGGGAGGGGAAGGAGCTCAATTCAAGAAGGCTCCCAGCACCTCCCAGATGGAGAGGCTGTCAAATGAGAATCGACAAAAATTGGTGGCATTTGTATGCCTTTGATTCTTTTTGGCGCTCGACTTGGCCTGGAAAACCTCAGTCCTGAACTTACTGGAGCAGCCATCCACCAAGTTCGTATGAAAGGCGTGTGCGGGGGCAGATGCCCTACTCCCCGCCAATAGATCCTCTGCGGCTCGTTCTGCATCAGCAGCTGCGATGAAGTCAGTAAACTTGGTTCCTTGGATTTGCTGCAAGGTCAACATACTGAATTCTCATCCCGATCATGAAAACGCATGAATGTTGCATAGTTGGAACTCTACAGGTATTTATCCTGTCACAGTTAGTACTGTACATCTGCCACACATGGGCTGTCTGGGATCAACCAGTTCAGAACCGCTTCTCCTGCGACCGCACACCGAACTGCAATGCCGAGCCATCTGCGACCCCCATGGTTCAGGAGTGGAACATTGCTCTGTTCTCTCTTCATGGATTGTCCAGGAACCTGGAAAAAACCATTCCCCAAACCAGGGCCCCTAAGAGGTGGCTAATTCACATCCTTTAACCTTTAAGGGGCTATTGTTAGACACTTGTTAAAGGGCCCTGGAAGAGGATTTCATCCGCAAAAACCAGGTCAACCTGGTGTTTTGGATCTCTGCTGTTCGCCCCCAAACACCCCCGATCCATCGGGTTTTGCTTCTGTTCGCCAGCGTCGAACTGCCGGAGGAACATGGAACTCTTCAGCTGTTCGCTTTCAGTAATACAGTGGGTTCAGAGTAGATGGCGCAATCCCGAAAAGTCGGTGGTTTGTATGGACCCCGGGCCTCTAAAGGACATCTTGGGGTTTGTGCCATCTACTCTGAACCCACTGTAATAAGAATGGGTCTTGACGGTCTTGACCAAAGCATCGGATGTGGGACGACCGAAAGTGGCCAAGCGCAGGACCGTACCGACCCCTCCAACCGCCTTGGAAGCGGCGTGAAGAATCACCACCCGATACCTTCCAGGTTTGCGCTAAGCTTAGCGTCCCTTCAGCGTCTCGGGCTGGCGAAAGAGCATGGCCGCCAATTGGGGGGGAGTCTGACTTGATGCGAAAGTCCTCGTCCAAGTGGACCACAGCATCGCCTCAGGTTTCGATGCTGCGGTGGACGTGGAAGTGACTCGAGCCAAGGTGGGTGAGAGGCGTCAACCTGGCCCAGTGACCGAGTGTAACTGTTGAACGAGGGGCCAAATGGCCATGAAATTCACCACCCAAAGCATCAAGATCTGCACGATTATATGCCTGTTCTTCCCAAGTCACAGGTGAGCTCCAAGAGAGCTGATGCTGCGTTGAGCTGCGTCTTGCTGTCACCCTCCCGGATTTTGGATTCCACATGCTGCCGTAGCGCACTGTTGGCCAAGAGGTGCACTACAAGCCCAACTCCTTAGGGTCCCGCGAGAGAACTCTCGGCGGGTGGCTGGCGAATGCGCGGCCGATCGGTTTGGCTGAAATGACGGCGAGTTCTGCGGATCCAGAAATGATCGTTTGAGATGAAGGCTCTGGCCTGTCTGTCCCTTGTTCCGAGGAAGCGCCGGACAAATGCTTGACGGCAAGCAGCAAGAATAGGCAAGCAGAATAGGTTGTTTCATCAAGAGAATCCCAGACCATCCATGGGACTGGAAGAGTTTACATGGAAACCCCATAGAAAAATGACCCATCCAGTCCCATGGGTTCCCATGGGTCTTAGAGTCGTGAAAGTCTCGTATTTGTTGGACCGAGTGTACTTGGACCACTTCTTCCTGGCGTGAAAGTCCCAGGCACGGAACGAGAGCCTCAAGCCGTACTGGGGCCGTACTCTTTGAGGGTTTTGGTTCCACAAAACTCCAGAATCATCGTCCCAAAACTCCAGGGCGAAGAAAGAGGCTCCAAGGGTCCTGACCTCCACCTTGACTGTGACCTCCAAACCTCTAGGGATTGATGAGAAACTCCAGTCGCTCTTCTCCCTCCAGTCGCTCTGTATCTCCAATCCGGTCCCCACCCCAAGGACGAGGGGAGACAGCAGCCCGGTGTCGCTGAAAATCGCTTGAGGACTCAGCCATCAAAGCTGGAAGAGCACTCAGTTGAACGGATGGTTGATTGTTGTGTTGAAAGAGAACACTTGCATTTGGACCCAAACTCTAGTAAAAATAGTAAAAAGCAAACCATGTCGTCTTAACAACCTGGGTCCACGAACAACCTGGGTTGACTTGTCAAAACAGAACTCATCGCAAGTCAGGATTCCCATGAAGAACAGGTGCACAATGATCAGGGTCTGTGGATTCCCGATACGTCCCTCAGCCAAAGGAAACTCCTCCTGCACGACGCGACCAACCATCAGCGCCAGGATGGACAACTGGCACAGGAAGAGCACAGTGTAGTGCTGGGCAAAGGTGCAAACCTCTTTTGCCATTGGAGCGCAGAAGAAAACAAAAGGGCTCCAACTGCTTCAGAAGGTGCGACTGGGATGAGTGCAGGGGGCTCTAACTACCTTCTGAGTATGTGGTTGGAGCCCTAGGAAAAAATACAATCAACCTGCAATCCGAGCGGCCCTTGCCGCCGCTATGTGCAACACCCGACCCCCCCCGCAGTGAAAAAGAAGCAAACACATATTTAAATTTCCAGACATAGGACTAGTAAGTCATATTAGAGTCTCTCTCTCTATATATATATATATATGCATGGGGTCAAATGACTTAGGCCAAAGTGGCCCGATATGATATTATTACAACTTTTCCAGGGAAAGTCCTAAGTCATGTAGAGGTGTGAAATTCGCCATTTCAGATATTCCAGTGGCAAACGTTCATGACCTAGTTCAGTTTGGCGACAACCTCTGACAGATCGTCGTGTGACAACCTATGACATCTCTGATTTTGAGTTTCTTGTTGTTCAAACCCTTAGCTTCATCACATAGGACTCCATGACCCCAAAAGGGCAAAACCTCATGGCAAAACGCCGCAAACAGAACCTGCCCGACCGACGCGCCGGGTTTTCACGACGCCCGACCGGTCCCCGAAACTAAACCGGGATTGCTTCGCAGACCCAAACCAAGGTCTCGGTCCTCGGGTCGCGAGGATCCACGGTGAGGTCTTTGTCCACTCCCCGAGGGGGATCCCCTAAAGAGTCGGGTCCGGTCGGGTCCGGTTCAGGTCCAAGACAGGCCGTGTCTGGGAACTGGTATGGAAATGGTCACGAAGGTGATGGTATGCAGCGTAAAGAGGTTCTCAATGGAGATGGTCCACGGCGACAGCCAAAAACCCATCAACACCTGGGAATGGTGATGGGACACATCAGAAATGTGTTGGCTCCAGTCCGGTTCGATCTGCACAAAGGATTGAAATTCATATTTTCCATCAACATAATCCAAAACAAAGCAGCACCACAGCAAGTTTAGATCAAGATCATTATAATAGATTCATGTAGATTCAATGACTTCTGAGAACAGCGGGCGATCGAAAATCGAAAAAACAAAGAAAATCCTCTGATCAGCTCTCCCAGGAAGCATGAAAGATCACACAGAGAGGGTCCAAACTATAGGCACGGAGGAATGTTGGCAGCAAGAGGAGCATCACCAGCACCAAAAAACCGACGAGCATCCCCCACATGCCAAATCCATTCATCCATCGACGATTCCTCATCCACATGTTGTACACGAGCATAATCACCCCAACCATCGTGATGCCAGCAGTATATTGAAGAAACCTATGAGCCAAGTGGATCTTCTCAGAAGCCATTTGCTCCGCCAGGTATCTCGCAGCCCTGTGTTGCGAGGCGCGCTTTCGGCGGCGCCACTGCCGGCAAACAGCCCCCCCAACCTGCCTGCAGCAACTCACTGGAACGCCGCCAGCAGCCGTTCCCGCCTGTGCTCCCGCAGCCTGCTCCCTCCGTCCAACGCAGATGGGACACCACAGCCCACAGTGCCAAGAACATCACAAAAACGGCACACACGATGAAACTCTTCTCCTCCTCGGACATGTCGGGCGCCACTTGTTCCACGCCCTCCATGGCAATCGAACTTCAGCCCGAACTACAACGTCTGGAAGTCCAAGACGAGAGTTTTATTAAACAAATATATATCTTTTTCAGCGACTTGGACTCGAGGAGTTTCCGACTCGTGGGTGGTGCCAAGTGGACTACGTGGACTTGGACGGTTGGACTGACGACAGCAGCGGAAGAGCCACGCAGCAGCGGAAGAGTCTTCTCCGCTCTATTCGAATAGACGACCGCCCCATGCCACGCACAAGCCGACCGCTGCCGCTCCCAACGGCGGACACGGCCATGAGATGGTTGGGGTGTCGCCCTAGCCTTCGCCGCAAAAGAATGGGCACGACCCAGCGACCCAGAAGTCTCTTAGGAACTGGAGGTGTAGTCCAGGTGACTCAGGCACCGGACGGCACAACGGCGGAAAGGCGACCAATCGCCGAGGGGCGTAGCCCTTCTCCCACTCTGAGATGAAGCCGTGACCTCCAGGTGGACGGAACCGGGGCTACCACCCAGGGTGTTGAAGGCGGGGGTCAGTGGAAGGTCAGTGTGGCTCTGAAACGCACGGTGTGATAATACGGGGGTTGGTTGGGTTGTGGGTCGAGGATACTCTGGTTGACCGACGAAACTGGCGCTCCAATGATCCTGCGCTTCCCATGAACCCTTCACCATAGGGTGGGTACTGCGGGCTCCGTCCGTCTGAGCGCTTCCCACAACCCTTCAGTTTCACTGGGTGTCGGGGAGTTGTGGCAAGTGACCATCTGGACAAGAAACCTATTTGAAACACTGTAGATGCATATGTATACAGTGAAACCGAAAAGCTCACGACGAAGACAATGACTGGCGTGGTGCTGTGAAAAAGATAACGCATCGAATTTGGAACTGTATCCACACTCCTGTTCTTGTTCTTGTTGAATGCAAGTCTAAATTGCTTACAAAGGTACTAAAACATGCTTGCAGTGTTCATACGGCAGGGATGTATGAGAACCCGCGAAAAGCAAGCACTGTTGAACAATCTGTCATGAGTACCAGCCCACGAAAGGGTGAAAAGGTAACTTGGTCCTCACAGGTGGAACACGTGCCGTATACATTGTGCTAATCTGCATGTGGGGTGCGACTGGCCGCAGCGGGAACCCTCCTGTGCACGCTCAGCTCCATGTGGCCGCGTTTTCGAGAGTTGGGGGTACAAGCAGAGTGGGTTAAAGTCCCTCAAAAACGGGCAATAATGCGCAGAGCATCTGCTCATTCCCAAAGAAATCTTCTTTGCGTGGGGAGGGCGAGTACCTTACGCATATGGTCTTATGATATTGGTCTTGCACGGTCCTGACTAGGTGCCAGACCCTAAAGTCGCTCAGGCGCACCCTGTTTCCAAACATGACATGGGTCGGCTCTTAAGTTATAATTATGAAGGCTCAGCGTTCTGGTAGCAGAAGGACACAGCATTGAAGCCTAGTTGGGGTCGTAGAACAACACAAAAAAAAACAGCAAAACCCTACAATCCTTGCGCCCTCCATGACAGGGCTCGGACCTTCTCCACCGAAACACAGGGGTCTGCACCCTCAAAATCCCTCAAAACCCTGTCTATTGGAGGGCCCGGATAGGGAATTTGTACCTGCAGGGTCAAACGAAACCATCCAAAAAACCCGGGTGTTCCCTAGCCCAAAACCCTGGCTTTGGTGAAAACCGTGGTTTTGGTGATGGGACATGGCTTCGGCCCCCCCCTGGTCTGCCCCAAACCCGTTGCGAACGACCTACCCGGTGGGCCGTCGTCCCGGCCTCGACCGGCCCCCGTCCCGTCCCGCCCAGCCCCGGTGGGCCGTCGTCAACGGGAAACGGTTCGGAGGGCGCTGTGTTGAGACGTACCTTCGGACGGGGAGGTACTACCTTAGGGGAGGTCAGTTCCTTCGAAGGGCGCTCAAGTGACGTGCTGAGCGTCAGGAACTGACCTCCCCTAAGAATCCGAGCTCGGGCTCGGACCTTGGGGGTCGGGCTCGGACCAGACCTCCACCGTTTCAGGGGGGAAGTGCGGGCCCGGTTCCCAAACCCTATATCTGTTGGTGCGGGCCCGAACCCTATAGGGTCATGAAATACATGGAGATGGTTATACAACACCAATATAATAATGGCTCCGTTCTTCTGAGCAGGTTTGGACCTGGGGAGCGAACTGGACGTAGGGACTCTGAGACACCGGTCCCGCATCTGTAGGGATCGGACCCGAATCCTCAGGGCAGGGGGTTTGTGGTCGAACCAATCCCTACAAACCAGAGGGGCCTCACATGGCCCATCCCAAAACGGGGTTTTCCCTAGCAAAAAACATGGACTAAAACATGGTAGGTGAAAACCTGTTTTTCATGGTTTGGTTCGGGCCCCTGGTAGGTTTGGAGGGACCGGTTGGGCTGTGAACGGAGCGTGTGGGTGAACTGTACATCAATTCAATGCCATAGTCATAGTCGCCATTGCTTCCAGAATCCTCTAAAACTCACCAAGTTTTGCCCAACTCAAGCTCTGTGCACAAAAAAGATAAACATAACCTATAATCTTGATGAATCTTGAACGCTGATATCATCTGATCATATCCGACTCTGGGCCCCCCCGCAGTTGGCCAGCTTGGCTGCTTCCTCCAACTTTCCCTGGTCCGCCTCCTCCAAATCAAAAACTCCGACGCAAAAGAAGAGCTCTTGACGGGGAGTTGAGCGAGTTGGAGCACTCAGGAATCATCGGCACACTCAGGAATCAGGTCTTCTCGGGTCTTTTCCTCTTGTCGAATTGGTTTGGGGTATCTTATGTTGATTCAGCCATGCTGCCCTTGTCGCCCGTTCCGTCAGCCGCGGGTTCCACAAATGCCCTGTTTGGGTTAGTCACCCTGCATTGTTTGTCACTCTCTGTGGCAGCATCTTCGGAGTTTGCAGGATCTCACCAAGAGTTTCCTTTGATTATTCCCTAAGAATCCGGGCCCTCAAACAGATAGGGTTTTGAGGGCCCGGACCCCTGCATTTCGGTGTCGGGTCCGACCCCTGCCATGGAGAGCCCAAAAACTCTGGGTTATATAATTGTACATATGGAGGGGTCTGGGGTCTCAAAGCAACTCCCGACCTTCCACCCCGATGGATACAGTAGATCCCCTCTTAGAGGTGATGGGAGATAGCTTGGCGATGGAGGGTCTCTCCTTCGATCTCCATGTTTGGAGGGTCTACTGGAGGGTCGGTGAGGTCTCTCTCCCAGAGAGAATCCATGTACCAGCAGTCACGAAGGGGTGCCTATTGGAGGATAGGGGTGCCCAGAACATCCACTCACTTAGGGACTAAACACCACCCCTTTGTGACTCCAGGTATATGGATGTGTATTTTTAAAACCTACTTTGACCCCTGAAACCACCCCAATATATAGTATACCTAAAGAATCCAGAACCTAAGAATTGGTCGACTCTTTCTGAAAACATCATGTCTTCACAGTGCGGTTGTAGAAACATCATGTCTTCTTTAATTAAAAAATAATAATACATCGTGATGAGTGTCACCCAATTTCATACATATAATAGATGTTTATGGTTTCATACATTGATTGTTATGGTTTGCATAGAGTGTACCTTCTGAGAAGGATGAGAAGTCTCGGATCCCCACGTCCGCGGCCTCGACGCCGAAGGCGATGTTCTCCCGCGCGCTGATGGCGAAGAGGATGGGCTCCTCTGGGCCGTTCGGTCTACCAGCTGCGGTGCTTCCGCACGACCGGGGTCACCGGATCTCTCCACACTAGACGTAAACAGGTCTCCAAACAGGGCACCAAGCCTTGGAAGCGCTAGGTATAGTACTCCAGTCTTCCAGTGTGATGGGTCCTTTTTAAGGTCGTTTCACCTCGTTTCGATGACAAACCGAAGACCGGACTGGCGACCGCTCTTGCGCGACCGCTCTTGCGCGACCGACCGTGCGGTGGTTGGGGAAAGCCAATGTGTGTGGTGTTCTTCTGAGAGAATGTACGACCAGTACGGACTCGACCCGGACTCGTACCTTGGAAAAATGGGTAGAAGATGGTAGAAGTATATTGGTACAGTCGTAGCTATTTGTTGGTTTCGGGTCATGTCCCATTTTGAAAGGCATACTTGGACAGGTCAAACACCATCATGTATTAATTACGCGGGACCGAAGTTGGTCAATAACCTCTATATGCACCATTCAAGGCACTCCTTAAGGCCAGGTTTGGAGGTCAGAGTGGACTTGTAGCCTTCGTTGTCCCTGTCATTTCGGAAGTCCAGGAAAGACCAACCGGTTTTTTCTCGAAAAGACCGAATTTCGGTGCCCAAGTTGGAGAGTCGACTTCGGAATCTTCCAAACACTGCGAGGTGGTCACAAACATCGTCGTGCCTCGTCGCGCCCGGGGAAACGGCGACCGGCGGAACGCGAAACGACCGGCGAACGACCCTTCAAAACAGTGTGAGAAAGGACCCGCTTCCCCCAACCCTGTCTATTGCCAGACCACCCCAGTCCCAACCAGAAAGAAATGGTTGTTCCAATATGGCTCGGTTCTTTGGCCACCAAAAAGACCATTCCTAGGGCTGGAGGAAGGGTGTATCGATCAAGCTTTTTGTCACTCACATCTCCAAATAAAAAGGAGCTAAGAAAAGCTCGCTGCGCAGCACATTCGCGGCGCAGCAAAAAAAAGAGGAGAAAAACGTGGGCTTTTCCTGACTCTGTCTTCTCTTCCGTGGTTCCCAAGTTCCGGGACCTCCAAAACCAATCGATCTGTGCATCTGTTCTTTTGTCGGAGAGTCCTCTCCAGCCAGAAGGGTTTGTTTTGGAGAGTCCATGCAGTCAGATTGGTAATTAGGGCAGTTCCACTGGAAGAGCCGCATGTTCGAGGAGAGCGAAGGTGTGCATGCCAAAGTACAGAAGGGCCCAGCAGGGCCCAGCGGCCATCAAGGATTATTCCATCTTCACTCTGAGGGTGAACGACTACTAAACGAATGATCATGAAGGGGACCTGATTTAGGGCACTTGCTTTGCTTCACAAGGGCAAAGTATCGTCGAACAAATGCATCACACTTGACACTTGACACCCTCCTGCAGCTGTGTGACCCCTTGCCCCACTCTTTCTGTCAAATCTGGGTGTCGAGCATTGATTGAACCTGTGGGTCAGATTGATTCGTGCCACTTTGGAAAACGAAATACTGTTTGGACTGTTTGGCGTCTCAAAATTATCCAAGAAAGCTCCGAACTAAAAAGACATTTGGTGAAAGACATCACATCGGACTCGGCATGCCGACAGACTTCCACGTGCAACACAAAAGCGACCTCTTCGACTCCAACCTCGATCGCCGAAACCGAAGGAACCAGACAGGAAAATCGATGGTCTTATAGGGCTTGGGATCCTGGGATCCTCTACCCTAATAAGGATCCAGACGGCCCCGACCTCTTAGCAGGGGTCAAGCCCCCTCTTAGCAGGGGTCTCAACCCGGTTCCCAAACCCTGTCTATTTGAGGGCCCCGATTCTTAGGGTAGAATCCTTAAGCAAGGAAGTACTGTAAAACGTGATTGGGAATCCCAGGGTCAAGCCAGGGTCTCCTAAAAGAGATCCAAGTAGTCCGGGATTCCTTCCCTGGCCGCCTCGAAATCGCAGACCCACCGAACTTTCGTGAGACGACCTGTCCCGCGTGCGTGCGACCTCGCCTCGACCCGCCTCGACTCGACTTCCCCAGAACGGTCGGCCCTCCTGCGAGACGACCGCCATGTTTCGCCGCAAGTAAGAGAACTTGAGCTCTTTGACCTCACAGCGACCGACGGCACTGTCTCACAAGCTAGATAGGGATCTATATATATATATATATATAGGGATCTAGAAAGCTATTGTGGAGTGTTTCCTCTTGGGTTCCAGACCCCTTGGGGAACGTTTTCGACAAGACATCTCCACCGTTTGTCCAGAAGCGATCGACTTGAACCGTCCTGGAGGGAGCGGACGCATCGACTGGAAGGGTCTCACGGGCTCCGTCTGGATGATCTTCATCCACGTTTCTTTTTTTTTTTTTGACTTTGCAGCTGTTCGTGGTCTGAGACCGCCAGCCTTGGTCATCCACGTTTCACATCATTGAAAAAACATGGATTCACATGGTGTTTCATCTCCCCGGGACCCTCCCGGACACGGGAACCTCCGACGTCGCTTCCGTCCGAGACACATCCACGCCGTCGATCTTCACGGCGCCCGACTGGCGGCACGGCGCTCGGGCAGTCGGGGGGGGTGAGAGGAGAGGACCGGCAGTGTCTGGTTTTTACGGGTGCTTTTTCTGGAGCGCTCAAAACATCCCAAAACCATTATTGAATGAGTGGTCAACAAGCAACAAACAACATCACTGAGTGGTCAACAAACCCAAACTACATCACTGAGTGGCCCAAAAACTACACGCAAAAAACACGAAAAGATCAGTGAATTGGAGTTGAGGGAATTTGAGGTCCATTCAGGGGCCGTGGATGTTCATATATATTCAATGGGCAGATTTTTGTTCAGCAGCTTCTTTTGAAGCACCCCGACGTGGAAGTTGCTGGCAAGTCCGGAACCCACACCTGGATCCTCGGTGGGATCCTCCGTTGGAGCGGTGCTTCCACATTCTCAGGAGCTGTGTTTCAAAAAATGCTCCTCCCTGAGTCATGCACTGGACCGGGAGGGAGCCAGTTTCCCCTCAGAGTCAAGGCAAAGTTTACTTCTTCTTCAGCTGGGAGCCATGTCCAATATGGGTCTGGGGTCTCAAATCTTGAAACATCTGGGTGGACTCCCAAGATATTCACCATGTGCCGTGCAATTCGAAAGAGAAAAAACACCTCGGTCTGCCAGGCACGATCATAGACCTAGAAAGCCTCCGATGAGACCTATGGAGATCAACCGTGGCCAACGAGACCCTCGAGGATTTGCTTCGGGGCCCCCTATGCCCCCCCCTGCAGCCCCCTGGTTCACAGGGGCTCCGACCCGACCTGCCAAGACGTGGAGTCCAAGATTTTCCAAGGATCTGGGGGCCTCACATCCCCGGAAAACTCACCTGACTGCACCGCTGCTCACCTGACAGTCATAGAGCCTTTGCAGCAACGAGACGCAGCTGGTCTTGCCGCTTCCAGATTGGCCCACCAGTGCCACCACCTGGACCGAAGCGTCGCCTTTCTCCCCTCCCGTCCCGCTCCCCCCCGCCTTCGGGGAACCGACTGAAATCCCTGGTGAAATGCCGTTGAGGAAGACTCTTCCTGGGGGTGAAAAACCGCCCCCCCCCCGTCACAGAAAGAAGTGGAACGGTCATGAAACTCCCCAGTCCGAGGCGCTATGTAAACTTATTCTTCTTCTAATTACCTAGCATTGAACTGGCGTTACCCCCCCAATTATCCAACTGACAGGCTCATCGCCCCAACCGTTCCATTGCTTTCCACAGCTGTCCCCTTCACTTCCGTTGCTCGCTTCCTTCCGAAACGCCGTTCACGCGCGCGGTGCATTGTGCCTGGTTCGACTCGGCTTGGAAGCTCACATTTTTCAGGACCATGGCATCTGGACCTCACAAAGAAAACGGAAGACGCAGTGGAATAGTTCGATCAAGTGTTCGACCAAGCGGAGTTGAAAACCCAGCACCAAAATCAGTTCGGGTGGTGAAAATAGACCCCCCTGACCAAAACGTTTTTTCCAACCAACCACCCGTTGGCTTGGGTGGTGCAGAACTGGCCCAAGACGAAGACAGCGCTGAGATAGGTCCACCAGAGTGTCAGCAGGTTCTGGCAAACAAAAAACGGTCTACCTTCCATTCGTCCCAAGTCTGCACTAACACTATCTACGAGTACAAAGATCTTCAATGAATAATAGACTTCTTTTTCTCACGTGAGAAAAAGGAGTCACAAAGGGGTGGTGTTTAGTCCCTAAGTGAGTGGATAATGGGCACCCCTATCCTCCAATAGGCACCCCTTTGTGACTGCTGGTTTATTGTAAAAGTACGATCTTCGTCTTTACTGGGTCCAACTGAGTCCAACGCTGAAACGTTCCAAGATAGTCTAAGTGACGGGTTGCGTAGGTGAAGCAGACCTTTTCAAACTCCAACTTGCCTTTGCACTCCACGGGATCCAGTAGTCCATCACTCTGTGCCTGGGGCGATAGGACCAACACCGGACCACCACCGTCCCGGCACCCCAGCACCGTCCGTGGCCACGGGCCACGGGCAACAATTACTTGCCATGGAATGTGCGGATGGGTTCTCACCGACGCGATGTAGTGAGGTCCCCTAGGGTTTTACAGAGGTTGGGTGCTGCAACGCTCCAACTCCATGCCGGCCACTGGCGACACTGGTGATCACTATAGTGCAACGGGTAGCAGCTCAGCTCCACTGTGCGTCGTCACAACGTCACGACATCCAGCTCAGCTCCAGTCGTGTTCACAAAAAAAGACTGAACCCACTTGGAATTGCTCAAGGAACTGTGAAAAGAATAAAGGATTCGCTCAGTTCGGGAAAAGAAAACCGATCGCCTTGAGTCAAACTAGGCCGACCCCAAAAAGAGCGGCACAAACCACCCGTGGCAGGTTGCAGGGATGCGGTCCGTGATCTCAAAGATCTTCTGGGTCGCGCCAATGGCTGCGGAAAAGGCTGGCATAATGCCTCAGTGCCAGGGAACTGCCTGTGGGGAAGGGCGCGTCTTGGACCGAAACACCGAGCTTCGGCGTGTTCGCTCGAGTTGCGGCGGCGTGTTCGCTCGAGTTGCGGAACTCGAGCGGTTTCAGGTCTCCAAAGTGGATGGTTGCTAAAATGGAGACTTCAAAGTGGCAGGTGGTGGCCGAAAAAGAGTCGAGTGCTAGTAGGAAAACCTTTTCTTTACAAGGATGGTGCTGCAGGTGTTCGTCCTTCACATCAGCGACGGCTGGACCTATCTTGGGCTCGTACTGCCAAGCATTGCCACAGACCCAGACAAGCTGACCTTGGCCAGCCGTGGCATTGAGAGGGTGACAGTTGCAGCACTTTGGAAATCCACAGAATCGTAGCAGGTTCCTGGCAATGCCATGATCTGACCAGGATTTAAAAACAATACTTTAACAAGGACCCAGAAGGAGATCCGAGTCGGTCCGGTTTTCTCCATTCCGACGCGTGCAGATGGGACTGGACCGAACATGGCCGTCCCAGAAAGACCTCTGAAATCCATCACTCCTGGCCGAGAAACTCGGGAAATGATGGTTTTATGTCATCGATTTTAGACTATACAACAAACAGGTCAACCTTCTCTTCCTGAATGGTCGAACTGAAGGCAACAGGGGTGAGTCTGTCCACAGAGTGTCCGAACTGCTGCGCCTTTTGAACGAATCTGGGGAAAAACTCGCCCAGAATCCGAATGGACCCGACCTCTTCGAACCCTCTAAAACAGGGGTTTGTACCCTCAAACAGCTTGTTTGGAGGGTCCGGATCCTTAGGGCAGTCACACTCGGTTTGGAATTTGCAGATGGCAACAGTGCCTAAGAATTCACACCCGTTTTTTTGGGTTCAAACCCAAACGCTCCCAAACGCTCCATATGGATAGGAGGTTTGCAACAGTGCTTAGTAGTACATAAGAGAATGGCTCACGGAGTCGACCGGGGTGCTCACCTGGCTCCCGAGCAGTGAAAACACTCACGGAAGCGTCGAAGAAAAGCACCGAGAACCTCTCTCGTCGCACCGACAAGAGGCCCCAACCTGTGAAATGTTCGCTGGGCCCTTTTCTAACGGACCTTCCGAAAGCCTATAGCCTTCAGTTCAACCATGATAGAAAGGTTGGCCAGGTGTTGAAGTCTAAAGTCCTTACCCTAAGAATCCGGGCCCTCAAATAGACAGGGTTTGGTTCGGGTCCAGACCCCTGCTACGGAGGGTCCGACCCCTGTCATGGAGGGCCCGTTCGGATTGTTAGGGTAGAAAAACATCGCCCAACCCATCGCGAAAAGCGCCTCCCCCCTGGTGGGAAGGTGGGTGGAATCCGCCTCCGGCAGATGGAGGACTGAGGACGGCACGGTGTAGAGGACGAAGGAGATCAAATCACCCGACTGCATCTCTCCTCGCTCCACGAGACCGGCGCCTGACAAAGTACAAGGACCGTTCGGACCCGGGAAGGATGGAAGACCCGGGAGGAGCGCAGAAAGAAAACCTGTCTTTTTTGGGGGGGGGAGGGGCCTGAGATTCCTGGACACCATATTTATTATATATATAATTACATACTATTAAGCTATTTAAAATGTATATACCAGGACCCTCACTGCCAGGTCACCAATTGAGACCTGTTAGGGCCCAACAACACTGAACTAACGACCTGTCGGAGGATGCTGGTATTTAACCAAACACTTATTTACAATGCTACGCTAGAAAACCGGGTCAACCAGTCTTGACATGCAGTCTTGGAACGCGAGTGCGGCTAGAGTAGCATTAGATCGTTCAAAAGCTCTGCTCTCCGGAAGTGACTAGGTCGACCTATACCCAAACATCCCTCCATGTATGGAATATTTACCTATACATTGACCCCTGAAACTCCACCAACGTATGCAAGTATGCCATGGAGTGTCTGGGATGTGGAGGGGTCGACCGGGTTCTCACCTGGCTCCCGAGCAGTTTTGAGGGAGCCACCCAACATAAACCAGCACCCTCCTGGCTAGGCCGTTTTGGGACACTGACGAACGAAGATGGCAATGGTGCTCCTGTCTCACCATGAGTTCAGCTTGGTGAACATTAGTGAACCAAATATTGGTATGGAAGATAAATAAACCCCAGCCTTTTTTCTGAAGAGTGGCATTATCCAGGTAGGGGGATGAGTTTCCTATAGTTTTCTTATGTTCTCTTCATCCACCGTCTACCTCCGGCTTAAAACCGCCGAAACGAACGCTCCAAATCCGGGCTTCCCGGGCCGAATCGCAGAACAACTGTGAAGGCCACGAAGAAGAGGAGACCAACCTCAAGGATTGGTCCCTGGAACGAAGTCCGTTTGAAGATGTTGGGCAACTATACGGGCTACTTGTCGGGCTTGAACATGGACGCCAGACTCACCCGTATACGTAAGTCTTAGCGGCTTTTTGTGGTTTCGATGCCGAACATGTGCCGGCACCGCCGCATGAACCCCTATAGGCCTATAGCTAGTCCAGACGATTGTCGTGACCAGCGAAGTGTTCAGGACATTCCGAGTGACTCCGGTCACCGAGCCAGAACCAGGTCGCCCGAGTCAGGCGGCAAAAATAGACTTGAAAAATGCGGGGGGAAGCGGTACAATCTAGACCGGGAACCTCTGCAACCGTGAGTTAACTAATACGTGTACTATAGTATAATGGACTCACTAATGGACTGTACCTCAAACAACCGAGCTGTTTTACGAAGGATTTTAGACTACAACACCAAATAGACCATTTTTTAATGGTCTTGGAAGGCTAGGGTAGATGAATGGTCGTCACACAGGACTTACAGCTCTGAGTTTAAACAAACACTAGTTACTAGTTGGTACAACATCAACATACCTGTGAATCTCTTATGAAGTGAATTGTCCATGGCCATTCCAATGGTCCATGGCCATTCCAAAAGGTGCTCTCCAATTGTCCATGGCCATTGGGCTCCAGTCCGACCATTTCGAAGATGGGACAGGGGTGAGTGCGGGGGTCCAACTACCGAACCTGAGCATATGATTGGAGCCCTAAAAAAGGGTCATTCTTAGGTCCGGATTCACTTAGAGCCTCAAATCTCTTGCGCAATTCAGTGACCGGGACCTCAACCGGTCGGAGCCGACCCAAAGCGCTCGCAGCTTTCAAAGAAGCACCACCCCAGGGCCCAGGGACCCAGGTTTTCGTTGGACCTTTCCCCAGTGTTTTCCCTGTGCTTTGGTTCATCCAGACACTTCAGACACTCCATGTATGGTACTATGTATTACATGTATGGTATATATATATATATGCCTACATGGCCCCTGAAACCACACCAATATTCTATGTATTTAAATATGCCAGTCCCAGACAGGTCGTGTCTGGGTAAGAATCATCCTTTCTTCAAATGGTGCAACGGTGCCATTCTTCCACAGCTGCCAGGTCCTTCGAATTCTTCGAATGTCGTCTCACAAAGTGGCATACATGAGCATCGCACCAGACCAAGTACCACCCCAAAACAGACCCAAGTACAATCCCAGAAATCATGATGAGATACCAAACAGTCCAGGATACCAACGTTCATGGTTTTTTTCAAATCGACCCTTGTTCTATCTTGTTTTACTATGTTTACTACAGATTTTAGACAACACCAGGGTCGATGCTCGTCCAACGGGCGAACGGAGGGTGCCAATCCCGGTAGTCCAACTCTCTCTGTTTCACAGACCCTCGTCATTTCGGGTAGCCGATTCCATCCCCCAGCTAGCTTAGCTTGCTGCAAGGGTAACTCCAGCCAACGCTGAAGCGCCAGGCTTTCGTGAGCCACGCCCCCACGCGGCTCCGTTCTCGGCGCTTTTGCAAAAACGGGCTCCAAGGGGCGACTCCGGACCAAGCTCCGTAGATCATGGACCGCTTCCTTGGATTGTTTGGAAGTCGGGAAAAAGACCTATTCCCCAAGCTGCTTTGGGGATTCACCCATGGGGAAAAGTACAAAATCATGCTACGCAAAACCAGGTGTCCAGCCGTAGAGGTAGACTTGATCACTCGCATCACCTGGAGCAGCGGGGTGACTGAACGGTGTCTTGCGCAGGGTCACCGCGCCCAAAGCAGCGGGTGCATGGGCGCAAGGCTGCGTCCATAAGCAGTGGGTGACGAGTCGACGAGTGGTACAATGAATTGTTTTAGAACATGCTGCAAGGGGGATGGATAGACGTGTTTCTAGATCAATATATATATATATATCAATAGCAGCTTGGTGGTCTAGATAAATGGGGGGCCTGAAACGGAAATCATGGCAAAGAATAGCAAAGATGATAAAGATTGTGAGCATCTCTATTTTGGCATTAACAAGCAGCAAAGACGACCACCAAAACACCAAGGTGTTGCAAGATGCATGGTATGTTGTGGCCAAAATGCCACCCAATTTGGGATCACCAATGAGGCTTGGCAGCAACCGTCTCACCTCAAATCCCGTACAGTTTGACACTTATGGCCCACTTATGGCTCATGCCCACCACATACCACCACTCTCATCCCCCCCCAAACGACCCACCGAGCTGCAGTATTTCTTCTCCATGAGCCTCTCCCCGCTTTGGAAGGCGCGCACCGTGCGCAGATTCCCGAAGGTCTCCGAGGCAATGTTCCCGAGTTCCGCCGTCCTCACACGAGGAGCTGGTTTCGGAGGAACTGCCGGGAGGTTGAGGTCTTTTGAAGGTCCATAAACCACAAAAACTTTCCCAGGCGCGAAATCTGGCCCCAAATCCTTTGGAGGGATCCGACCCGGTCCTGTAAAGGGGGTCGGATGGGGGTCTCAAATCGCTTGGTTTTGAGATGTTTTGAGGGACCAGTTGGGCTGTTTGGAGCGGGATCAGACTCATCTGGCATATCAATTGTCTCAACTTGCCAGGCGTCTCATCTTGGTACTTCTTGCTCACCTTCCGCTGAAAGTGGCCCATGATTGCAGCCAGAATGCTGGCCTTTTTGAGCCGATCGATTCAACATAAACAAAAGCTGAGTGGCTCTAAACACAGTTTCTCCGTTTCTTCCCTACAATAGACATGAGAATCACAAATACATGCTGCCTCAAACGTGTCTGGAACATCTCCAAGCAAGTTCCAGCTGCACAGAAGGTATGTGATGTAGTTCTTCCATGTTCTTCCTTCAAGTAGCAAGCAGTATCAATATAGCACTTATGAGACCCCCAGCTGCTTGGATCTTTCAATGCGGCTTTATGTTTCGTCTTCATTCATGCGTTCAAAACACATCTCCGCTACAGCTTGAAGGCGGGACTCTGTTGGCTGCTGGACTCTGTCCAGTAGAGGAACGTATGTATGAGTTCGTTCTACTAGGTAGCAAATGCCCAAAAAAGAACCGAGGATCCCAGTTACCACTAATCCCGGGAACCATTTCTTTGCTTTTGGTCGAACTGGAACCACTGGTGACCAGCGACATCGTGGTAACATGTGGCAACTGGATCCCCTGAAAGAGACATGCAACACCTTGTGAGCACTGTAGATTTGGGTTGATTCGTTTGGAACACGAGTTTCCATGTCGACTCATGGTACCCGATGAACATCGGAAAAAACGTTCTTGACGTCAGCGTCAAGACTGGTCCAATCTTCTGGAATAGGAGGGTGAACGGCGTGAATGGCAAAGTCTTTTGCCGTTGGGCCATTGAGTTGTGGCAAGTCCTTTTCTACGAACCGTATACGAACCGTTTGGTTTGTTCTACACCAAAAAAAAAAGGTCTCCTTTGCATCATCAATGGTTCTTCCTTCTCCCCGTCCGTTTTTTGTGCCGCTGGCATCTCCTTACCACTCGACCTCGTGGCCAAGACACCACAGGAACAGTGGCCAACATGGCCAAAGTGAGCTTCCAGCTGGTCACCTTCGTCCATAAAAGCACGGTCGAAGCATCGGGTTTCGCCGTTTTAGACAATCGGAACCACAAAGTGAGGGACGTACGAGGCGTGCAAAGGATTCACTGCACCAAATGGGAAGTGACACCAAGGACATGGTTTCAAGTTTTGAGGCAACAGGATGCTAGTGTGTGTGTGTAAAGATCATGTTGAAGTCCTTGGCAAAACATTTTTTGTTTGGTAAAGACTAGGAAGGACCCTTACAACAATCGTTGGCCGGGAATCCTAGGGAGGAACAAGTTGCTAAGTGTTTGTGATCCCACTGCTTTCATGGGGATTCAGTTGGCCATCCCACAGTTCCGTACCGTTTTCAGAGGTCCAAAAGAAAACCGAAAAAGACTTCGATTGGTGTACATCAAACCGAGACTTTGGCTGTGCCATGGTGCGCCCCATACCTCTAGGACCCTGAAAAAGGGGTCGCTCGACTAGGTTGCATACTCCGGGGAAAAACAACGGCCGCCAAAGCAAAAGCCGATATACGATATTTTTCAATATAAGTCATAATAAAAAAAATAAATACATCGTGGGTCAGGACGCGTGGGGAACTAGCTATAGTTTCGACACCTATCGCCGCAAACCCTCAAAAAACCTAAGCGAAAAAATTGCATGGGTAAAACAGGTAGTATGTAACGCGGTCTGACCATCAGCGTTCCAAAGTTCGAAAGTCCCAACTCTCAACAAGTTCCAAAACCGCAACGAAGGCGACGACGAATGCACATCTGCAGACCTGAATCATCCTGCAACAGCCTGAGGGGTTAGAACATTCACAAACTGCAGGTACAGGAAGGTGATCAGCCTTCCCCTCCCATCCATGACCGTAGATTCGTTGCACACGGTGGGTCATGGATGCCGCGTGCTCCTGCAAAAACATCAAAAGATTCCCTGTGACTCCAAGGGTTTCACACAGACACGTTGATTTGCCAAGTTGGCTTGAACTGATCAACAGGGAATCGACCACGAGGTTTTCACCATATTTCCGAACAGCAAAGCTTGGGAGTGTTCTATCATATAGTATGAACTTCGCAGCACATCGAAGCATGTCCCAAAGCAGGTTCCGGAGCAGTTCGCTTAGGTTCCGGAACAATTTCGGGAGGGGTTGCCTATGAGATTCAGGAGCAGGTTCCGGAACAGGTTCTGGAGGCTTACTTGCCGAACCGCCTGGGGAATACACGTTCAGCTTTTGCATCCCTGCTGCTGCATATCACCTGGGCACGCCCCACTAACCCTTTTAATCATCCGCAGATGTTCTCCACGATCTTCAAATCTTAACGCTGCTGGATGTCAAATGACGCCGCTCTTCGCCTGAGCGACAGACCACAGAAAGAAAGCGGATGTTTTTACATATGCAGGTTCAGGTGTGGGTTTGCATGCGGCGGAAGAGCTATCGAACTTTAAGGCGCCAAAGGTTTGACGAATCGGCGTTCTTTGCACTTGCCATGTTCAGGGTTCACGGGCTATTTCTGAGGACATTTTGACGAGCCAGCAAGCAGAACCATGCCTGAGGATCCTTTTTCATAGCGCAGCCTTGAATTCACCCCTTCCAGAATAGCGGCTTCACTTGCCCAGCTTTCATTGTTGTGAGAAGATGATGAACAAAATCCAAGCCCACAGACCATGCTTTGGAGAGTGCGGCGGTTCAAGGTGCGGGTGTGCAGCTTCACCACGCTCTCTCAAGCGCAAACCACCAGCACGTATGGCCAAACCTCCTCGCAGCTTCGAGACGGAGCATCCAGGGCCGCGTGGTTGCGGCGGCGATCATTGAGTTGTGAAGATCGGGCAGCGCCACGGATCAGACTCAATGCCTTGGCTGAGTCTTCAAGAGCTGCCACCAGCTCGCTTGTTCCAAACTCAGAACGTCAGGGTCTATGAGTTCAGACACACGTTCTTTAAGCATGCGCGTCGGCGCGAGAAGATCTTTCAGCGCCCATGCACCTCCCCTGGCAACGCAATCAACCTTGCGCTAGGTTGTGCTCGGCCCCTGCGGTGGCACTCAAACTGATGTCCACCTTGTTTGAGAAAAACATCCCTGCAGAAAGAATATCCCGGCAAGAGAACCCACACAGTGCGTCTGAAGGCCCAAACTCTAGAGTGTAGAAACAAAAGGTCTAGAGATCTAGACGTGCTGACAGGCTCCTGGCATGCTGACTTGGGTCACGCTAACAGGCACACACGTTGTCACGCTGAGATGCAGCCGTCGGGCCACACTGTGGCGCTGACAGGCTCCAGCGCGTTTTCCAAAGCAGGTTCCCTGGTTCTTGCTTGTTGCGGCATTGTCATTAGTTGCATGTGGTGTGTCAGCACAGGTGCTATGCCAACATATTGCCGTATTCTGATGCTCGCATGGCACATTGCAAAGGCTCACATTTACGTGTTTTGAGGGGGAACTCGTGATCTTGCCATTGCCTAGTAAGCCGATTCATGCTCAGCTGCTAGGGACTTTTCCTTGGTTTGGGGAGGGATCAAGAAATAGTAAGAATGCGAACTCCGTGGCTGATTCTCAGGGGATGACTCTGACTTACTTGATCAAGCTCTCTTATTCTCTTCAGCGAAGACCTAAACGAAAAAAAAACACACCGAGTTCCCAACAGTTCCCGTTCCTCCGCGAGTTCGCTCGCTCCCTTATCGCCAAAAAGGCGCAAACATCACGATCAAGGACAGCAACAGGCTAGAGCTGCAACGAAGGAAAATCGAAATGTTGGAGCTCGCCTCGGAGAGGTTCCGCAATGGAAAACCGGACGTTCGCGAGTCTCAACTTCGGAGCGAACCCCGAGTGGAGCCCGCTAGGGAAGCATCCAAACCTATTTGGTCAAGGGGAGTAGAGGGGGTAGATGGCCAAAAAAGAATCCGTCCTAGAATAAAGAAGGTGTTGACCGGTGTTGTGGTCCAAGATCCTGTGCCACAAACCATGTAAAGCAGCTCGGTTCTGTGCTTAACACCCTAAAGTCCATTTCGCGGGTCAGGAGTTGATGAACGGCCGCTGGCCTCTGGGATGTCTGGTTGAAGAAAGTTACACTCATGTGTCCAACGACCTGCCAACGACCTGCCCCACTATGGCCCACCACTCACACTGGTGGATGAACTAGATCTTCCAAGTATGCAACACATATATATATATATAATATATATATATATAATGACATGCAACTATGTATATATTTATATAATGCCTTTTCATCTAGCAAGCCAGCCAAGTTGGCAAAGCTGGGCAGAAATTTTGCCTCAGTTGGAAGATCCAGGTATGGTTCTTGTGAAAGTGCAGTACCTGGAAGCAGCGCCTTCGACCTAAACCCCTCCCCAACCCTGGTAAGTTGACCATGTCTGGTAAGTCCATGGTTGTGCTAAAATCACCTGAAAATCGATCGGGTCAGGCTTCAAGACAACCCACAGTCGGAAGGCTTCCTGGCCGACCATTCGTTTTATATGGGTTTAGTACCACAGAACCGAGCTGTTTTACATGTTCTACTAGAAGGACTTTAGACTACAAAGCTGGGTCACCCTTTTGCTATCGTTTTTCAACCGTCGAACAGTTCGACCTCTGGGCATGGCCATCGCAATCCCCACGGAGACATCCCGGCCGAGTCCGATTCCGCATGCCGCGTCGGGGCACGGCGTTCTGCAGGGTCTGGGTATCGTTGGTGAGTCTGGAGACCAAGGCCTTGGTAGCCGAAGCCACTCTGACTGCAGGTGGCCGAAGCACTGTGACCGAAGGTGGCCGAAGAAGAAGGTCTAGTCGGTCGGTCTAGTCGTTTAGAGACCCATATGGAATGTATTCGAAGTCAAGGATGGGAAGTCATGGACCACGGACCAGGCTTCTAGCCATTGATGTAACCTTTTCTCGACAACTCTTCAGAGTCCATGACGAGCTACTCCAGTGGTCTGCACATCAAAGAAAGCCACTTCTTGACGGAGCAGTGCATGAAAGACCTGGCTGACCAATGGTACCAAAAACCCCGAGCGGCTGAGTATGTGCGGTCATGCCATGCGCATGCCATGTGTGCCGGCGTCGATTGCGACTGAGTTGACCTTCCTGGTTCAGGGAATGAGCTACGAACTTCTTACCCCAAACGAATCCAGACGGGCACTCCATGCCGGTCGGGACCCGACCTTTGGCAGGCGGTCTGGACCCAAACCAAGCCCTTTCTATTTGAGGGCCCGGATTCTTAGGGTTTCATCTAAATCATCAAGGCCCAATACAAAATGGGCAAGAACAAAGAAAGGGGTAGGGGCACACCGTTTTTCCACCCTGTCTGTCCTCCATATGTCATCTATCCCTAGGGCCTTAGGGCTCCAGTTGTACAAGGCCCCAGTACCTCCCCAAGCTCGGTGTGACTGGACCCTCCTGCACCCGGGCCCTGTCCCACCGAACCGAAACGAAGGTACGACTGGAGCCCGTGCCGGGCATATGTCCCATGGTCCTTCAGAGTGCGGAGAAAATTTTAAAAAAACGATCCGTCAAATGCAACAATCCTTTCAGCCAGGTGAGCATGGGTGACTCACATCAGTGCAGGCTGCATCACATGCCTCGTTCAATGAGATCTTATCCTGAACCACCACCCACCAGGGGCCCTCAAAACCATGAAAAACAAAGGTTTTCACATACAAAAACCATGTTTTTCCCCAAACAGTGTGGACACACTAAGGGCTCTTACGGTAAGGGTCCAGCACCGGTGTCTAATCGGAGGTGTCGCGCGGGCGTGTACGGCTAGTCGCTGCTATTTACAGTACATTCATGCCGCTGGAAATCCTGGAAGTGCATTACGACTGCGCAGGGTCGCAGAATCTGGGTGTCCGCGGCGGGTGCTTCTCGCGACTGCGCTCTCGTTGTGGCGCCGTGCGTATTTCGGACATGGTGGTCACTTTTTGTGGCAGGCGCAAGGGGAACCTTGTGTTTCGGTGGCCAAATTCGACTGTTCGTGACAGGCGCAAGGGATCGGAGCGGTTGTACTTCGAAATGCAGATTTCGTGGCAGGTGCAGCACTGTGGACATGTGGGTGATCTTCGAGGCGCTCTGATTCCGTGACAGGTGCAGTGACTCGACTTTTGGACATGTGGCTCGTTTGCAGATTTCGTGGCAGGTGCAGTACCTCGAAGTGCAGATTTTGTTTTAGCCGCCGTGTTTTGTGAACCTCGAAGTGCAGATTTCGCGGCAGGCACAGCACTTTGTGAACTTCGAAAAGTGCATATTTCCTGGCAGGCGCAGCACTTTGTGAACCTCGAAGTGCAGATTTCGTGGCAGGCACAGCACTTTGTGAACCTCGAAGTGCAAATTTCCTGGCAGGCGCAACACTTTGTGCTCTCAGATGCTCACTCTCACCCTCTCTCACTCTCACTCTCGCCTCACTCTCACTCACACTCACCGCCACCATTCACCACGATCTCCACCTTCATCACCACCATCACCTCTCTGGACCCCAATGCGTCTAGATCTCTAGACTTTCTGCTGCTACACCTCTAGACCTCACACACACTGTTTGGGGTCTCTTGCCGGGATAAGGGTTTTTGATGGTTTGTGGGGCCCCTGGCATTGATATATTACAGGTCTCCATGATATAGAGACCTACACCGACGATCTCGGACACTTCGGAACACCCGGAACCCGCCGGGGTTCGACGGGCCCGAGTCCGGTCTGGGCGCCGCACGCGGAAACCGCGAACCCGACGCTGGACACCCGTCCGGCACCTGCTTCCGCAGTTCGCGGACGATGCGTTCACCCGCCAGGACAAAGAGCATCCCTGGCCCGGAGAACACCACAGGATGCAGAGACATCGATTCGAGACATCGTCTCGGGCGGCGTTTTGGATCGAATCGAAGCTGGTGCTTTTGCTCGAAGCTGGGAGTCCGGTGCAGCGGTTTGGCTCGAATGTTACAGCAAGTGCTCCAGTCTTTGGACTTCTTTAGCTTGAAAGAAGAAGGAACTGAGCAGTCGGAGATCGGATCTTGCCCAAACACCACACTGTCACACACCAGAACCCTCCGGTATACCCCCCCCGAAACACCCAACACCGGACGGTGCACCGCTGGTTCTGGTTCTTACACTATAGTTGTTGGAGCACGAGGCTCCGCACCAAGTCACATTGATGCGTCCCATGAAAACAGCAACCACTCCCTGGCAAACAAATAATGATGGAAGTGGAGAGCGCAAACGGCCCCCGAGTTTGGATGATTCTCTAGCCAAACACAGTGGCATTCACATGTTTTTCACTCCACAACATCCATGATGATTTTAGGGAGATCCAGGGAGACCCTTTTTCAACCACGCCAATGATCGGCAAAATCATGCAAAACAAATATATTCCATGCATGGAGTGAGCCTGGGTGATGTTTCCACGCTCCGCCACGCCAACACCGCGCCCCCGGACGCCACGCCACTCCGCCACGCCAACCACCACGCCACGCCACCCGCGGTTCGGCTGGGGGCCTCGCCTCGAATCATCGAGGTGATCGAGGAGGCCACGGCGACCACCACGATCTTCTCGGTGATCTGCACCGAAGCAACAGGCATCCAGGCATGTGTTGGCATGTGTTCATCCATATTTTGGGGTGTTTGATTGTAAAGGAATCAATGGGTTATAATATACCAGTCCCATTCGTCGTGTCTGGGATAGGCTTGGTGCCACCGGTTTCCAAGCCGACGGAGCCGTGCGGAGCCCCTGCGCTCTCCTGAGCGCTCCTGACGCCAGTGGAACGAAGCGGACTGTCAGATCGTTTGCGAGTCTCAGTTCCGTGCCGAAAGTGGGGGAGAGTACTTTCGTAGCTGTGTTTTTGAGGGGTGTCCCATTTTTCTGAGGTGGGTCAGTCGGGTCCAGGTCTCTTCAATATCAATGCTACATCCCACTGGTCACTTAAGCCGGCTTGTTCACCCAGGCTTGTCACTCGCCGCAAAAACCTGGGTCCTACATGTTCAAGGACCATCAGCGACCTTGATATGCTATTCGTTGCTATTACTGTCATTCAGTGCTGATTTCATTGAACATTTAGCTTCTCATCTCCTTCCTGTTCCGTCTTAGATCAGTCTCACTTACTTCCTGCAATGGTTTTGGGCTTTTGCAACCTGCAATGAACCCGTCTCTGGCGACATAGCGCTGCCGCAGCTGCCTGATTGAGCTCCTCGCTGGTGACGCCGGTGTTGCTTCCAACCATCTGCACAAACTGCCCGCCAAAGTAGGGCAAGAGGATGAACAAGCCACCTAGGTGTGTATTGAAATAAGGATATCCTCCCAATTCGATCCCCTGAAAACTAAGAATAAAAAAGATCCAAGACCCAAACAGACCAGTCTACCCATTGGTAGGGAGATCTCCCTATTCCAAGACATGCTGTACTCGGAAATGTGTCCAGACCGAACGAGACATGTCCTTCGCGGCTCCGAATGAGAAGAAGCACTTAGAACTACCAGCCGTCCCCCCCCAAGCCACAATTAACTTCAATAAGCGAAGGCTCTTTTGAAGGCCTCCTCTCAGCGGCTTTGGTCTGAATAGACCGTTCCTTCTATTGGAACTAATCTTGGATTTGCTTGTTCGGAACTGGAAACAAAGTCTTCTGCAGAAGGGGATTCATCCATAGGGCACCTTCCAAAAAAAAAACTAAGCAAACCAATATCCACTGGTTTCATACCAGCTGCCTTCCCAATCCCGAAGCGAGGTAGATGGGGTCCGTGGATCTGTCGGGCACCAGGGCTGGGCGCCATGGAACTCCCCGAGTCATGCTGTCCCCCCCCTGCCTGGAGATCCCGAAGAAGTAGTGGGCTGGGGGGGCGTCCAGCCAGGATACTCAGACAGGATGACCCAGGTAGCTGATATTCTTGGGTTCCAGGACTACTCAGGACTACTCAGCTCACACCCAAACCAACCTCAAAGGGATCCAGAAGAAGGCGAACCCGTTCGCCCAAAAAAAAACAGCGAGCAAGCGCTGTTAGGGCACTGTTGAGAAATAAGCAGAAGGTGGCTGGAATGAGAATCCTTGACTCGCCAGCGGCCAACTTCATGATTTTACCTCGCCAGCGAAGAAGGCCGGCCGAAGAAGGCGGCCCCTTTTTTGGGACAAGACGAGCTCGGGCCACCTGGAAGATCGAACATTTGCCCGAACCAAACCATGAACAACACAGGTTTTTCATATACAAAAACCATGGTTTTTTGCTAGGTCAAACCAGGTTTTGGATGGGCCAGACCGTGGGCCCCACCAGTGGTGGTGCCAAAGATTTGGTCGAATTGGACTTCGGGAAAACGGGTGTCTTTTCTCAAACATCCAGCGCGTGGGATGTTAGAACTGGCAGCAGAGTGAGGATCATGATTGCTTCTCTATTGCAAAGTCTACCATATTTTCCCATAGGGTCCAGGTACCTCCTGAGGATGGTCTTGAAGGTGAAAGTACTTCCAGAGAATGGTTGAACGGGGGGGTCAAAGGACATCCGATTCGGATGGTCCTGGACCCTTAGGGTTTGTATTGTTTCGTTGTTCGTAGCCGTCGTAGGATGTCGTAGCTGGTCAGAGCTCGCTCTCTTCCGAGATCTGAGGCTCTGAAACCAAGTACCTGGAGGCGAGGAATGTACCTCGGACAAATGAGTACAAGTAATTACCCTTCTTCTATGGGGTCCTGTCCAATTTTCTAAGGTACTCAGTCGGGTCCGAATAGACGTGGGTGCTTCTGGCTTTGACACTTGGGGGGGTTTCCCAGTCGTGAGCTTCGCTTCCCCGACTGGTCCTGCGATTTCAGTTTCAGGCGAGTTTCACACACGAGGCAACACAAAGGCTTTGCTTTTTTTTCTGAGTTACCCCCCCTGAAGACTAACTAACATGGACCTTGAAAACCACTGGTTTGTAGAGGAAAACAGTCAGTCTTTCAGGGTGGCATTCTCAGGATCCATGTGAGTTTTCGGGAGTGTTTGCTGTTTAAAAGCCCTGCCAGGATGATGGAAGGCTGGCTCAAAGCCCCCCCAATACCGGTTTCTCGTCCCGGGTTCAGTATTTTTCTGAAAAACAAACAAACAAAAAAACCATGGTCAGCCCAGGGACCGGTGGGTGAGTTCAGTCGGGCGAGGTATGCTCCAAAGCATAAGGAAGCCGTGGAGATGAAAATCACCACCTCGAGCGGACGATGAACAGCTGCGGATGAACAGCTCGAAAAGTCCGCACAAAGCTTGCTTGGTACTGGTAGCTTGGCTCTCAGGGATTGAACAAAAGGATACATATATATATATTATATATATATATACACTGTATACGCTGTGTATATAATGGATTATAATGGCTTCTCTCTCTCTCTCTCTGTGTCTTTGCTGGCAATGTGGCAAAGTCAAAGACCAAAGGCACACCTACAAGAAGGAAAACAATACCATATACCAGGACCCTCCAAGGGGTGCCCAATGGAAGCATATAGGTAGTGTGAGGTAGTCCAGCCAGGACACCCCGACAGGAGGGTCCAGGAGGCTCCAGTGCCAGGTCCCTCCAATGGCAACTTCTGAAGTTCATCATGTTCTAGTGGATTGAGAGTGGATGGCACAGTAGCCCCCAAGTAACGGTGCTTTAGTAGTGGACTAATACCATCTGTCTATAGGACATCATGGGGGAAACGTGCCATCGATATGCCTGAAACCACTGTAACTGATCAGTGACTGACCAGCTGACAGAGCAGGGTTCAGAAGGCTCTTGAAGGCTGTTAAACTTGGACGGACATAAGGCTCCCACTGACTTCAGGTCGCTTCGGGACCTGTTTGTTGAGACCCAAATGGCCCTAAAATCATCTAGGCCTGGGGGGTCCAGGAAAGACCAAAACTGGTCGCTCCGAGCTTCCGGCTCCTTGTTTACATCGATATGTGGAGACCACCGGCTCCTTTGCTCCTTTGCTCATCGCACCAGCTGTCGATATGTTTCGACGAGCTAGGCATCAAAGGAATGCAAAGGCCCGTCGGAAAAGACATCCACCTCCAGGTGCCCCAAAGGCCCTTCGTTGTGACGTGACCAACATAGCTGGCAGTCATAATCTGACAAAATTGGACTCTCTCAGGTATATGTGAATACACATAAGCCAGTACATACTGGAATGGATGCTCCTAGGTCGTCTGGTATGTCTGGTTCAAAAAAAGATGCGCACAAGCCGAGTCAAGCCACCAGGATCGCCACCACTGCAGCTTCCACCGTAGTCACGCCCTTGGGAAGAGACATGCCACCACCACCTGAATGGGGAGACGCCAGTTTTTCACCGTCGTGAAACAGGGAGGACCCCAACCAGTTTCTTTCCTTTACGGGGTCATTGGAAGGTCCCCCTACTTTGATATATCACTTGTGGCCAATAGACAACCGGGAGTCTTCAAGAGGCGGAGGAAGCATGACCACGAGCTTGATGGTTTAACCGAATCGGTTTTGGAAGCTGGCTTAGCCTGCAGAATCTCTGGATTAAGAATCGGACGGCCCAGAATCTGCACACCTTCAAACACATAGAATTTGGACGGCCCTTTTCCCCCTGCGTTTCGAGGTCGGGTCCGACCCCCTGCCATGGAGAGCTCGTTCGGATTCTTGGGGGTGGCAACGAAAGATCTAGAGCTTTTCTCCAAACCATATCCCAGACGCGATATGAAACCATACATTGGGGTGGTTGATTTCAGGGGTCAATGTTGGCTTTTTCTACTAGTCCCTGTAGAGGGTATGAGGGATGCTGCTTTTCCTGTCAGGACTCTTGGCCTCGTAATAGTTTCTAGCTCGTGGGAACCCATTGTAAAACCTCCAACGACTCCAAAACGGGCCAACTTTCCTCATCAATCTTTCAATGTTCATCTTGCCTGTGTTTGTCTTGGGTTGGAGCCTAGCCTTCCGTCCTGGTTTTGTGGTGTAACATCCTTTTTCAAACACAATGTTTTGTTGGTATTAAAAAAGAAAAAACATCAAACCTCAAAACAATGGTGGGCCAGGAAATGCAGGGTTCATACAGGCTTGCCGATCATATTACCGCAGTCAAGTTTGGAAAACATGTCGTCTCCATAGTTCAGATGGTCTTTACAAAACAACCATTGTTTTATACTATATAAGGATCTTACTTTACAACACCAGGCCACCCTTTCCTTGACACTTTCTGATCATGAAAATGAAACACCACCTGTTTGGTCTTGGGAACGTCCATCCTTACAGGGCCATGGTCATCCTTACAGGGCCATGATGATTCCAGGGAGTTTGTCAGGGAGTGTTTTTGGTTTTGGTTTTGTTGGATGAACTCCTCATCTGAATCCTCTCCTCGCTCCAACAAGACAACCCCGGCCTGGAAACTTGAAGGATTCCTCAAGCAAAAACGGCCGAATGAAGCATGAGGACGGGGGTGTTCCCCCACCACAGCCTTCGAGATGAAAGCTGCAACATTCAATTCTATTCAAAAAAAATATGATGTGAAGGCCCCAAATGGAGAAAAGTACGTCCCCTAGTTCAGCATCTCGGAGAAACGTGAAACTCCTCCCGTGGGGGGGGGCACTCTTGTGTCGGGAACAAACTGGTGTGAGCTCAAAAAGAGGGTCAACTGATCTGCAGGTCACCAGGATCAACTGGTGGCTCATGGTCTCCAGATCAACCTCGTTGCATCATCTACCAGGTGTAGGCTGCACATGACTGCACACAATTCAATCCGCCAAATTGGGGAGACTTCTTGTGTCTTTCTTGGAGTACCCCGAACTAAAACGTGCCACATGGCACTTAGGTGACCTGCTACTACTACACATCATCCTCACGAGACTTTAATGTTGACACAGGACTAAGTAACCTTCCCTTATTAATCAAGCCCAGCTCGAGCCCCCCAATACCAAACTAATTTATAACCTGAGTTCCACATGTACATCACCCTAATTAAAAGAATCCTAGCAGAAGCCACCCCCTATTAATCAAGCCCAGCTGCCCCAGAAAAGTAAATGTTATAGTTTACTAATCTAAATATGTTGTTTATACTGTATACTTTCTTTCTTGTCAGTATCCAACATTGTCTGGTCCATCCAGTATTGGCATCCACCCTCACCACATAGAGCCTCCATCTCCTATGCCTCCTCCATACTCTGATATGCAGTGATCCAATTGGCATGGCTCTCTGCTCTATCCTATCAGATCTCTTATCAAGCTTGTGTCAATATACTCAGAGCTCTCATGGTTCGCATGGTTCAAACTTTCATGATTCACACAGAATCCCATCAACCATCATCCAGCATCAGGTCCAGATCATCTCATCATCCATCATCAGGTCATCGCCTTTATTAAGGGGATGTGGTCTGTCTCCAATACCTCCAATCTCAAACCTTGTTGACCTTGAAGGGGGGATGATTAATCCGGTGTTGACATTACAATAATCTACCACCCAAAAACTCATGGACCCTCATAGGAGGGATTGCACCAGAATCCTTTGGGTCCGGGGTCTCAAAATCCCTGGATTTTGAGGGCTGTGAACGCAGCACATGAAATCTATCTATACCATCTATACTCATATCTCACTAGCAAATGGAGTGTAGTGAATAATTGGATGTTCCGTGAACATGACTGATTTTGCTTCTTTGCAACCCGCCCCTTGCCACGCCCCTGTGCCTCCATTTGCCGCTGTATGTATGCCGGCAACGCTGACACGAGCGGCCCAAGTGATGCGTCGAGGATATCCATGGCCTGAGTCTTTAGGATGGACCAAAAGTAAGTTCACCAGCCAAAGATGAACGTGAGCAAAGCCTGACAAAGGTGACCTGCAAAGCAACCCCCTTCACCACGTCCGCAGATGCTGGAGTCTTCCGAAGTTCATAGACTAACTTGACCCCCCCTCACCAGTCCAAATATATATATATATATAATACTTATATATATGCAATATGTTATATATATTTTTCCCGAATGCGTAGCGAAGGGTTCTCGTTTAACTCTGGGGGTCTGGGGGTAGAGTCTTGTTCGCGACCCGTGGTTTGTATGTTCGCAACCGTCCGCAACCTTTCGCAACCGTTCGCAAGTGCTTGCAACCGTTGGCCGTAGAACGCTAAGGCGCTGCCATTGGGGGGAAGCTTTTGCAAGGGACTTTTCATGGATGTGTCACGTGTCAGTTTGCGCCGCTATTCCATTGTGATTCGCATGACAATGACATATCGCGCAAGAAACGTGATGCATTTCGCTGCACAGGCGCAGGTGTTTGTGAGATCCGCAGTTTGCTGCGCAGTTCCATTGGGATTAGCGTCAGGAGAGTCGTGTTTTTGGGGTGTTGGATGTGGCCGTGCCATTGGGATTTGCGTTGCAGGGTATGGCATCGAAGCTCTGTTTTCGTGACCAGTCTCAGCTGAAATGGCGATTTTGGTGGATGGGAGTGTGCTCGGAATCATTCCAAACGTGTGGTGTGGTACACGAGATGATATTGTCACTTTTCGTGGCAGGCGCAGTACTTTGTGTGGGTTTTGAGGCGTGGAAGTGCGATTCTCGTGGCAGGCGCAGGGAATGGTGAGGTTGCGAGGTGTGACGGAGGTGACATTTCGTGGCAGGCGCAGTACTTTGTGCGCGTTAGACGTGTGGATGCGGAAAGATTCGTGGCAGGCGCAGGGAATTGTGAGGTCGTGAGTTGTGGTAGAGGTGAATGTCGCTGTCACAGTGGGATTGGCGTGTGAACGGGTGTTGTTTGGAGGGCTGGACTCGCGAAACTGCTTGGCAGGGCTGCGTGATGTGTGTGCTCCGATGGGTGTTTCCGCTTGACTTTTGGAGGAAGTCTCGTACGAAATGCTCCTTTTGCAGACTTTGACATGTGAGTTTTGGAGGAAGTCTCGTACAAAACGCTCGTTTTGGACACTTGACATGTGACTTTTGGAGGAAGTCTCGTACGAAACGCTCGTTTTGGAGACTTGACGTCGTGTGACTTTTTTTGGAGGAAGTCTCGTACGAAGAGTGCCCTACAAGAGTGTCCCACAAGAGTGTCCTACAAGAGTGTCCTACAAGAGTATCCCACAAGAGTGTCCTACAAGAGTGTCCCACAAGAGTGTCCCAAAAGAGCGTCCTACAAGAGTG